TTTTTTCCCCCAATCCATAAATGTCTCTAGTTCAGGTCTAGAATGAGAGGAGTGGGCCCCAGGGCAAGTCTGAAGAACGCTATCCCCTCTCCTCTCACACCCTTGCTAATGGGAATTGAACCTGGGGGGAACTGAGCTATGCCTGCACTCTTTTTTATTTTTAAACAGGGACTTAGTAAGTTCGTGGCCTTAAACCTGTGGTCTTTCTGCCTTAGCCTTGAGAAGCTGAGACTATAAGCCTGTGCTGCTGTGCCTAGCTCTCAAATACCTGTGCTTTGTACAAGATTTTTCAGGAATTCTAATGTTAATATTGATTTTGAAAATCATTCAACTGTTGGATTTCCTCACTTAAGTGTCTTTTCTTTTCTCTAGGGCTTGGAAATTTACACTTCAGGATTCCAGAACAAATACAGTAAGTCAGTTGCTGATAGCAACACCAGCAATGTGACCTTGTAAAGTGGCTTATGTGACAGATTGGAGACCAGGAGGTTCGGAAAGGGGAGGGAGAAGTCGGAAGTGAGAAGTCAGCTCTGTTGCCTGCTCACCTGTGAGCGGGCAGAGCTGGCCATGAGGCCTTTCCCCAGCGGCTGGCACAGCCCTGGTGTGCCGTCCTGTGGTGGAGGAACCCGCCTTACAAAGGCCTGCTGATTTCCCTGTTGTTTTCTGTTAAGGTTTGCATTTCTTAAACTTTGCAACACCTTCAGTTCTGCTGTGATTTGTTATGAAGGCACAAGAGGAGCCATCATTTTCTTTTTTTTTAAAGTTTATTAGTGCATGTGTTTGCTATGTAATGTTTACATTCCTAGTGAGAAGCTGGTACTTACAGAGCACATATTTCTTTCGTTCCCCTTGCCCTCCCCTCCCTCTTCTGCAAGCCCTCAGCCTGTGAGACCAGAATGTGTTTGGGACTTATGCTTGTTTGCAGTATTGGTTCTGGCCTCAGGAGGTCACAGGCAGACAGCTCATCTGTAGAGCCTACTAGTGATACTCTTCTGGCAGAAAGTTTGGAAACAGGACCTCGGTGGCCAGTTTTCATTCTTTAAGAAGGGTTTGATTTTTTTTTTTTCTTTATACAAAGAAAAAACAAAGTAGATGAGAATTTGTGAAAGATTTTGTGCATGTAAGAAAAGAATTAAAAAGACCTACTACCCAAGTACATTGTATCTTGTATTCTTGCAAGCCTAAGACAGTTCTTTTTAGCTAGGCACAGTGGTGTATGCCCGTAATCCAGAGCATTAACCCTCTGTCTGAGCGGCAAGAGGGTCACTGTGAATTCAAGACCAACCTGGGCTACATGGCAAGAGCCTGGCGTGCGCCCCACCAGCAGCAAAGCTCCTTCCACCCTTCAGTCCACGCTCCCCCTTCTCCATCTATCCCCTCC